AAGTTTTCGACTGTATTTTTAAAGACCATTTTTAGGTTTATAACAAGACTGACCAGAAAAGTACAGTGAGCAGCTGGAGGCCCTTCAGTGCCCACCCGTCCCCCACCCGTGGAGCTGACCCTTTGTCACACACTTCTTCCTTTAAGAGCCAGTCATTCAGGTCTGCAGTGTTCAGCCTCGTTAGCTTTCTGCTCGTCTGTTAATAATCTATTCACAGCCATGCTGTGATGTTGGGCTGTGGGGGACTCAGGTCAATAATTTCTGACATTGCCAGTTAAACAGAAGACCCAATGCTATTATGGGCTACTGGACTCTTTTAGAATATTTTGCTGAGTTTACACACCTATAATATTCAATAACAGAACTTAGAAAAATGGGGTATACTGATGAATGTCCATTTTGTATCTGTGTATTCAAAGTGGTTTGGATAGATATATAGTTGCATTCTCTTTTTTTTTTTTTTGCATTCTCTTAATGAATAGAATGATTTGTTCTAATGGTGTTTGTAAATAGGATCACAAGTCTGCATTTTATACAGCAATTAACCACTAAGAAGAATATATGCAGTGTATTATTTGTTGAAACTGTACTTCCGATTTGATTTGAAACTGTCTCATTGCTGTTTATCAATAAAATTTTGAAAAAAAATAATAATCTATTCACTGCTTATCCTCAAATTATCCTCAATAAATATATGCATCAAAGCTCATTTGTGGACTCTTTTTTGCTTTCTCGTCTCTTTTGCTGCCTGTCAATCAATCAGTCAATCATACTTACCAAAACTCTTAGCCTTTCTGGCACTAGTAGGTAATACAAAGTTTATCTTCCAATTTCATTTGTTCCTCCCCCTCGCCTTTGTTTCCTTTCCTTCTATTTCCTTTTCTGTGCTTTGTTTTGTCATTTGTTTGATACAGTGGCTCACTGTGTAGTTCAGGTTGGTTGTTTATTTTATTTTTAAAGAATATAAAATAGTAATTTCTGTTTTCTTTTCTTTTTTTGAGACAGATCCTTGATGTACGGTTCAGTTTGCCCCTGAACTCACTATGTAGCCCAGGTTGGCCTCAAACTGTGGCAATCCTCCCGCTTCAGCCTCCTGAGTGCGGAGAGTTTGCCTGCACCACCAAGCCCAACCCTCTTCTCCTTTTGATCTGTGGTCTCAGTATGTTATCCAAGCTGGTTTGAAAATCCTGGGCTCAAGAGATCCTCCTATTGGAGATCCTTGGCTCCTGGGTAGTGGAAATAATAGATATGAACCAGCCTGCCTCTATTTTCCTATTTGAGGTCTTTAATATCTAGGTGTTAAAATAGTTTTGAGAGTGATTTATTTTCTTAGACAATGTCTCACTATGTCATTGGCTTGAACTCACTATGTAGCCCAGGCTGGCTGAACCCTCATCAATTCTCCTGCCTCTGCCTCCCAAGGGGTGGGATTACAGGCGTGTGTCACTATGCCCAGCAGAGAATGATTTTTACCTACGTTCCCCTTGTGCTCCCTTCTTGCTGTATGACAGGTTTTTTTTTCCTTCAGCATTCAAAACATTACTTAAAATTACAAAATTACATTTGTTTAAAACTACAAAAGTAATAAATGTTTTTGTCAAATAAACAAGACAGAAAATGAAAGTCTATCTGCTAAGGTTTGAATCTCTAGTGTCCCCCAACTGTCATGGGTCAAGGCTGCAGCCCAGCCTGTGGTGCTGTGGGAGGTGGGTAAGCGATAGGATGGGACTCGGAGGCAGCAGGTCTCTGGGGTACGTATTGAATGCGATCCTAGAAGACTAAAATCTTATGAGATAAGAATTGTGCAGAGTAACATGGAATTGCTGATATTTTGCCATTTTTAACTTATGAAAATAGCAATTTGGCCGGATCTGGTGGCGGATGCCTATAATCCCAGCACTTGGGAGGCTGCGGCAGAAGGACTGCTGGCTAGTCTGGGCTACAAAGTGAGTTCAAGGCCAGCTTGAACTGCACAGTGAAACCCTGTCTCAAAAAGATGAGGAAAAAAAAAAAAGTAAAAAAGAAAAAAATAGCAATTTCAAATGATTCAACCTCATATAAAACACTGAGATTCAGTCATTTTCAAGTTCTTATTTCACTAGCTCTAAAAACGATTGACCTTTTCTTATATAACTGCAATGCCATTACCACACCCAATCAATAATTTTTTGGGATTATCTTATACCAAATAAAAATTACAGGTCAGTGTTTCGGCTTAGAGTCCCCAACAGACAAAGCTAAAAAAATCAAAATGGAGTGACTCATGCTAAGCTCCTCTGTGATCTGACCTGAGAAATCAAGACCATTTAGCACAGATTTCCCAAACAAGCCAATTCTAGTTCCTTTTGTCAAATTATTTGACATAAAGTCATCTGAATGTTAAGCAATCAGTTATTTTATTTTGTGGTCAGCTCAGCCCACCCTGAGGGTGGGGCGGGCATGGCACGCAGTGCCAGGGAATCGAACCTCGGTCCCCTGCGCCTGCCTAAGCTTGCCTAACCAGGTGCTTTAGACCACTGAGCTATCTCACCAGCCTACAGGTTTTTTTTTAATCAGTTATTTATTTATTATTAATTATTTATTTATTGTTCTTTCTTACCTCTCATCCTGGGAAAGTAACTGTGCAATGACCATCCTGCTTCAGCTTCTTGTCTCTGCTTTCAGCCTTTTTCTGCCTGGAAAACTAATGTCTAGCCTGGCCTGGGTGTACCTTATCATCTCAGCTCTGAAGCTGAAGGAGAAGGCTCAGGAGCTTGAGACTCTTGGGGCAACTAGGGCTTTGACACTAACTGGGCAGACAGGCAAAGAGCTTCAGGGCCGTGTGCCGTCCTTCCTGCTTACAGAGCTTGCCCTCTTTCTTTCCTGCCAGTGATTACAGAAGAAACTGGGGCATGTATGTATCCTGAGGCCCAACCCCCACTCTTAATTTGTTTGCTTTTCCATGACAAACTTCACCTATTCCTCAAGCAGCTGTATTTTCTATAAACTGGAGAGGATGATCAAGATGGTGCCCGGGGTGGTGCTAACTTGAAGTTTTTTTAGCCATTATAATATTCCTTTCTTGACTTCCTATCATTGCTTATAGATCGAAAGTCAGAAACTTAGTTCTCTTTCCCATCTTGCAAGAAGATGTGAAAAAACTGAGAAGCCAGACAGTAAAGAGAAGAAACCTGAAGCCCAGAAGGCTGCTGACAGTGGTACTGGTAAAAAGGGTAAGGTGAAGGCAAAACAGTCCAAGAAGGGGCAGCCCCACTGCAGCCGAAATCCTGTCCTGCTTACAGGAATTGGTAGATACTCCTGATGTGCTATATATTCCAGAAAGGCTTTGTACAAGAGAAAGTACAGCCAGGGAGATGGTTCAGTAGAATAAGTGTTTCCCTGGCATGCGCAAGGGCCTGAGTTCAATCCCTGGTTCCACCAAAAAAAAAAAAAAAGAGAGAGAGAGAACATATACAGCAGATGTGCCCTAAAAGCTCTTGAGCCACAGCAAGAAACCCTTCAGTCAGCATGTGCGGAAACTTCGAGCTAGCATCACTCCTGGCACCATCTTGATCATCCTCACCGGGCGTCACAGAGGCAAGAGAGTGGTCTTCCTGAAGCGGTTGGCCAGTGGCTTGCTACTTGTGACTGGGCCTCTGAGCCTTAATCGTGTTCCTCTACGAAGAACACACCAGAACTTTGTCATTGCCACCTTTACTAAAATTGACATCAGCAAAGTGAAAATCCCCAAACACCTCACTGATGCTTACTTCAAGAAGAAGAAGAAGCTGCGGAAGCCCAGACACCAGGAGGGCGAGATCGTTGACACAGAGAAAGAGAGATACCAGATTTCAGACCAGCACAAAGCGGATCAGAAAGCGGTGGACTCACAGATCTTAGCAAAAATGAAAGCTGTTCCTCAGCTCCAGGGAGTAAATGGACAAATGGACAAATGGAATTTTTCCTCATAAATTAGTGTTCTAAATTTCTTACTGGGGCCAATGAGATAGCTCAGTAGAATAAGCGTTTGCCTGGCAAGCGCAAGGTCCTGAGTTCAATCCCTGCTACCAGAAAAATGAAATATCAAAAAATAAATAAATTTCTTACTAAGAACCTAATTAAATAACTGATACATTTAAAAAATAATATTCCTTTTTTGAATAGGAAGGTGGCACCCTTTAGTGAGCCTAAAGACAGGGTGACTGTGGTATGCTGGTTATGTTTTTCCCACTGATTTTGGGCAAATTATGAACCCACCCCAGCCTCCATTCTCTTACTTGTAAAGTGTAAATTCACTAATGCATACGTTGAAGGGCTTTATGCAAATGACGCTGAATGTATAATGACCATCACATTATCTTGTTCACAGATAGAAAGCAGCTGCTCAGTGACCATCAATTCTGGAAGAAACATATTCAAGAGCCCAGTGTGGAAGCACACACCTGTAATCCCAGAACCGGGGTGGCTGAGCCAGGAGGCTTGCTTTGAGTTTGATGCCATCCTGGCCTACACAGTGAGTCCAGGACAGCCTGAATTGCATAGCAAGATCCTGTCTCAAGAAAAGAAAAAAAAAAAAAAAAAGAAAAAAGAAAAAAAAGAGGGTTGGCCAAATAGCTCAGCAGATAAAAGCACCTGCTTAGGCAGACACAGGGGCCAGGGGTTTGATTCCCAGCCTGTGGTGCTGGCCCTGCCTCTGGGGCATGCTGAGATGGCCAGCGGCCGGCGTAATCCCAGCACTTGGGAGGCTGTAGTAATCCCAGCACTTGGGAGGCTGTAAACAGGAGAGTCACTACGAGTCTCATCTGATCTACCTAGTGAGACCCTGTGAGACCCTGTAGAACATGTACTAAATACAAAAAAATAAATAAATAAAATAAAAAAAGAAGAATCACCTTAACTCTTACAATAGAAACACTCACTCTAAAAGCATGCTTATCAAAAGTTCCTGAAAAATTATATCTTTACTTTGATGTTGCAGAAAATGTACCATAATTTTTCTGTAGGTCATTGGTAATACCTACACCATAAGTAGAGAATCCCAGAAGCTTTGAAGAATGAATTGTCTTTAGAAATTTTGCTCCATTAGCAAGGGAGCAGAATCTTCCCGGGGCCAACAACATGCTAGGGGAGAGAAGAAAAATCAGGAAAGGGAGTAAATATATAACCATTATATCACTATCGGACAACAATATTCTTTTTATGATTCAATCTATTCATTATTATAACAAATTCAATACTTCTTATATTATATAAATTAAATCAAACTAGAATCAGTTGTGTGGACCCTAACAAACAAAAAGTACTTCTAACCTGGATGTGGTGGTGTACACCTGCAGTCCCAGCTGGGGAGCTGAGGCAGGAAGATCACCCTGAGTCTGAGGGTAGCCTAAACTACAAAGGGAAAACATGCGCATGATAAACATCCAGTTTTCTAAAAACATTCAGGCAAAGAGCAATCTGACTTAAGATTGTGGGCTGTGATTGTTGTTCTCAAGTAAGGGATGCTGCTGTACTAATACATATGGATTCTGCCTCTCTCTCTAGTAGTTGTAGCCAAATCTTAGACAGGAAATATACTCAATGGACTCAAAGGAACCACTGATGCTAGTGCCCATGAACCACCTAAAAGCTGCGAACAATAATACAGAGAATGTTTCTGTTGTTTTGCTTCACTTTCTTTCTTTAATGTATTTGGTACGGGGTCTCACTATGGAGCTTGGACTCACAGTGATTCTGTTTTCAGCCTCCCCAGCGCTGGGATCACAGGCATGTGCCACTATGCCTGGACTCTGGCCGGTTGAGCCCACCCTGAGTCGGGGGCTGGGGTGGCATGTGGTGCCGGGAATTGAACTATGCTCCCAGTGCTTACCTAAGCAGGCACTTTTAGTCTGCTGAGCTAACTTGTTGTCCCCTTTTTTTCTCTTTTGAGATAGTTTCATTATATAGTTCAGACTCACGTTGAATTGACTTTGTCATCTAGGCTGGCTTTGAGCTTACAGCGCTCCTCCTGTCTCAGCCTCCCTAGTGGTGGGATTACAGGTGTGCACCACCAGGCCACATGCTGATTTTATCAATAAAATCCTTGACTGCTCCTGAAACGTCCTGCCCTGGACATGTAAGTTATATATTCTCTCAGCTATTCTAGGAGACACCAACCTGTTACTAAGTCTGCTAAGTACTCTTGTTCTCCCAACAGAGTTTTGCTATGTAGTCCTGGGTGGAACTCAACACGACCCCATGACCTGGAACTTGTGATCCTCCTGTCTCAGCCTCCTGGGTTCTGGGATGACTGAACCCTCAACCCTTGCACAGCATTGTTTCAGTTCATTTATTTACTTGGCTGGTTATCCACTGGTTAATGTACACTACACATTCCAACTACAAAAACCTTGCATGTTAAGTTTCTCTGGCACATCGTACACATTCAGTTACATAAGTGTTGAAGAACTAAATGTACACGTAAATCACATTGAAATGTTTTAAGGGGGCTCTGTTTAAGAAGAATCCTTTTGTGAGAGAGACATCTTTTTTAAAGCTAATAGTTGGCTTTTATGCCCATTTAAGTTCAGCATGTTTTAAACACAGTATAAGAAAAGTGCTTTCTTATAAATAGACAAATGAGAGAAATAGCTTTCAACTTCTTGAGATAAACTAGGGAGAAAAGGTTGAGGCAGGAGACCTGGGTTTTAGTCTTGAGATATATCTTTGGAAAAAGTCACTAACTTCCCACCCTTGTTCTGGGTCAGTGAATCCTGGCTCAAAGATAATCTCAGTCAGTGCTGAGTCACTGGCTGGGCACACATGAGCTTAGCCTGCAGTCTAGGGCAGGTGTCACCTGCCTCTGGGTGGGCGGCGCAGCGACTAGGCCTCAGCGTTCATCTTCTTAGGCGGTTACCAGGGGAGCTGCTCATGGCCTAAGCTAAGCCTGTCCCCTCCTGTACAGCCCCTCACCTCCAAAGCGCACCACCCTCCCTAGTAACTCAGCTGACTTCATCTCGCATCCACTTTCCCACCCTTCCACATTCCCTTTGGGATAAGAACTGGTATAACCCAACAACTCCATTCTCTTTGTTTTCAGAGTCCCTTCTACCTACCTGAGCCCAACTCTCATTGGTCCCCAGTGATGCCACTTTTGTCTCTCTTGGTGTTGGTTTTTGTTCACATAAGCTCCACATATTTTTTTTAATGTTATCTAAAGTACTTTTCAGTTGCATGTGACACAAATACTTTAAGTCAGCTTTTTGTAGTTTCCAAGTTTACATCATTATTCACCATGACAGCCATCGTTATGGGCAGACTCCTTCCTGCTATCCGATTCACTACTGCCCCACCATTCCTTCTCCCCTCTGCCCCCTTCTTCTGTCTCCTGCTGACTCCCTAGCAGCATTAAGGAACTGGCAAGAAAGCTTTCCTTCCCAAGCTCAAGTGCTGTGACCACCCTGCAATGCCTTCACCTGCAACCCTGCAAAGGCCTGCTCTTCCCTCCTTCATCTGGCTTCAGTACCTCTCTCCTATAATCACACCCACTACCTTGCTGTTACCCCAAACTGGTCTCATCCTAAGATAACAAAAAGACTGAACAGAGATTCTCTTCCTTGTACTGTAACTCATCTTACTAGCTGTCTCCCCTTGCTCAAGTTGGTGCAACTTATTTTGTGCCCATTACTTCCCAGAGGAAGTTTGCTGGGAAAGCCAGTTTAGACCTTCTCAAATCTGAGCAATGCTGACCACGCTCTGACTCCTCCCCCACACACCTCATTCTCATGGCTTTGACCTTAGTTGCAACCCTCATTTTCCTCCTGCCTTTCTTCTCCCATCCACAATTAAATGATGGAATTCTTCCAGTGCAGACCCAGGCTCCAGTTCTGTGTCGCTCCCTCAGGGAATCTTGAGGTGAGAACTCTGGGCGTTTTGGTGGAAATTGCCTCAAGAAATCTAAGCAACGGGACAGAATGGTGCACACCTGCAGTCTCAGTGCTCCAGGAGATGGCCACCTTGAGCCCAGTCTAGTAGTTTAGCGAGAATTAAAAACGGCTGAGGATGTAGGTCGTTATGAAGGCCCAGGGCAGTGTGAAAGTCCTGGGGTCAGTCTCCAGCACCGCAAGCAAAAGCAAAAGCAAAAAACCCCACCATAACAAAAACAACTCAAAGCAGGCTAATTAAACAGATTTGTTAGATGTTTGCAGATTCTTTTAGCATTGAGGAGAAAAGCCAGTGCCCCTTTGTTAGTGCCCCTTCAGAGATATTTTGTCTGTTTGAAATAAATCTTCCAGAAAAAGTTATAAGTCTCAACATCTCTGAGTTATTGATTCACTTTTTAGGTTACCTTAAGTAACCAACCAAGAGGTATTCCTTTTGTCTCTTAGGCTTATGAAAGTGCCTGTCTGGACAGGGCAGGAAGAACCTTTTCTGTAACAATGTTGAAGTCCCCCATTTAAAAGCCCCTTGTGGAGACTTCTTTGGGGAGGCACTGCTTTAAGAGCAACCTCCAGCGTGCCCCTCTTGAATGTAACAAGCTGACCTTCACTTATCTCCTCCTGGTTGTGTTTGTTAGCTCTGCCCTCACGGAGGGGCAAATCCACACCACTCAGTTATAAATTCTGAACCTTTGAAGAAAGATTGTTCTCCTGCACTTTAAATATATATGCTTTGAGCAGTATTTTCTACTGCAATTAACACTGTATATATATGTAATATATATATATTCTCCAATAAACTAAATAAATGGATACATTTCAGTATCATGGAAAGTTGAAAAAAATCAAAAGGTATCTCGCTTTTAATTATAAGCTGTATTTTTATTGCAATTTTTTTCTAATTTCTCCCTGAAATGATACTTGGTTAAAGCAACAAGGCAAATGCGACTTGGGGTGTTGCCAGTCAACCTACTCATGGCATAAATAAAGGGACATAAACTCCATGTTGAAAGGCACAAGAGCGATGGAAAGTCAGCCTGCGCTGCCCACTTGCCCACCGCGGGAGAAGCCTCTACGATAAACATTCAGAAGGTGTACTTGGCCGATTTGGGGGTGAGCTGAACCCGAGACGGCTGCTCAACTGTTGGGAGCAGAATCCACAACTCAATGGCAGAGAAAGGAGTCGAAATGACTTTTTAAACTTAGGAAATGCAAAGATGCACGCGGTGGACTTGCTTTCACACTATCAAGTTGAAACATTTTGCATATGCCTATGGGGTAGGCAGGAAGAGATTGCCTTAATTTGCCCAGTCAAGAACTGGCGGGCTAACAAGCACAAGGCTATTAAGAGAAACAGCAGCAAAAAAGTATAAAAACAAAGTATAAGAAGTAAAGCCATGGTGTTATGTTGAGCTGTAGGGGACTCAGGTCAACAATTTCTGACATTGCCAGTCAAGCGGAAGACCCAATACTACTAGGGACTCCTGGACTCTAGCATACTACTGGGCTGCTAGCGGAAGAACTAGGTGCTGATTGGGGAAAGTACAGTCGAAAGGACAAACTTCAAAACCGTGTCTTTGGAGCAGAAGTAGAAAAAAAGCCAAAGCTAGTCAGCACAAGATTAAAGTGCACCAACCAGAAATTGCTGAAAGCCGCTATGTAAAATTGAACTCACAGCTGCTGCGGTGCTGGACCTTGACCCCAGGCCGTACGCGCTCCTCCACTGAACCACTCCTCCTACGCCCACGCCTCCTGTGCCCGCAGTCCTCGCTCTGGGGTAGGCACTAGCGTAAGTGTACCTTTTTCCAGAGGGAAAAGTGTGGCTACGAGTTAGCACACGAGGTAGAATTTTGCAACAGTTGGTCTGCAGCGGTTGCGTGGAGCTTCAGTGAGGGAGCTTCCAGCCTCTCTGGCCGAGCAGTGCAGAGAAGTCCATGCGTGGGAGGAAGGGTTTACGTGTTGCGCGGTGGCTCAAGGCCTCTTCAGGAGCAAGATTGTCCCATTTTCTCCTTTAAAAATTTGGATTTCACCAAGATTCACTCATGGGGGCGTGGGAGGGGTATGTGATCAGCCTTTGCTTCCTTTTGCAAAATTAAGATCTCGTCTAAGAAATGAACTGAAACCAGCAATGCCTTCACAGCTTGTTTTCTAATGCGCAAAACTGCACAATCAAGAGCAGACAGGCATGACAGTTTGGAGCACAAGGGAGGCCAGTGGGACCCGCTGCACTCGCTCTCTAGATCCGCCAAGTTTTAGACTACTGAGTGCATCTGCCGGCTTGTGCCGGCGCTTGGGACTCCTAGGTCCAGGCAGACACACGTGCAAGTCGGGCCTCTTCCCAGTCTCGCACGAACTTTGGAGGCCTTCGCCTCGGGCTTCATCCCTGAAGCCCCACACACCCTGCACGCACGCACGCCGAGGTCGCACACGCACCTGGCTTCCAGCAGCTCCAGTCCCTCTCCACCGCACACTCGCTGGGCTTCCGGCGGCTCCTGTACGTCTCCGGCTTGGGGGCGGGTGATTTGGTCTGAGGGGCAGAGCCTGGACATGATTGACTCAATTTTAGATGTTGATTGGCTGGAGGGTGAGGTATGGTTCGCGGATTGGATACGTCCGGCTGTCTGTACGGGACGCAGAGTAAGGAGGCGGGCCCAGAGGTGGCAGGGGATTGGCTATGGGGTCTGGGTAAAGGTACCGACTGGCTGCAGAGTGAGATTGCCAAAGTGAAGAGCATCTAGGTTCTGAACCTGAGACAGGGGGTGGAGGGGGGCGTGGACGTGGAGCTGAAAGACGATTGGCTGCTACGTAATTCAGGTTTGAGGCTCGAATTGGATGTGCTAGGCGCGTGGAGGGGGTTATTTGGTTTAGGGGTGGGTGGTGTTAGTGAAAGACGGTAAACGTCGAGTTTCGCGTTTAGATTCACTTTTTTGCCCACGTATTTTAGGGAAAGTTCTACAGGGTGTTCAGAGTCTCACTGCTAGATCAAACTCGTCGTGATTCACCTGTTTAGAGCCTCCAAGTGCTGGGATTACCGATGCGCTCCACCACGCCCAGTCTCAATCTCCATCTCAGAGCGCCCCGGGGGCGGGGCCGGCCCCGCAGGCCCGGGGATCGAAAACCCAGCCACTGAGCCTGTTTTCAGAACTTTAATCCGCTGAGCTATTTGGCCGGCCGTTAGATTCACTTCTTAAGGAGATGAGAGGATAAAGGAAGTGAGAGCAACGTTAGCTCTTGTTACCCGGACCTAGAGGAGAGAGGATAAACCTACATTTTGAAGGAACGTACTGTAGTTGGCGTTTCGTCCTTATGCAAGATTATTAAATGTTATTGTCACTTCATCATAAGAATGGCTTTGCCATTGCTGTGTCTTGTTTTATTTTTGTGATACTGGAGATTGAAACTAGGGCGCACTGAACTAAATCCTCAGCCCATTTGAAGTTTTCTTCTGGAAAAGCGTCTCCCTAAATTGCCTTGACAGTGCCATTATTCTGGTTTAACCTTTTTTTCTCTTTCTGAGACAGAGTCTCTCTATGTAGTCCAGGCTGGCTGCTTTGTAGTCCAGGCTGGCCCAGCCCAGTTCAACTCACTTTGTAGTCCAGGCTGGTCTCCATCTTGCAAGTACCCTCTTGCCTCAGCCTCCGGAGTGCTTACAGGTATGCGCCACCATGCCCAGCTACCTCAATCTTCTTGGTAGCTGGGATTACTTAGAGTCGTGAACCACAGTACTAGTCTGATTGTGAAAAGTTTTAAGGGAAACGTCCTGGCCAGTTCTTTACCTAAGGTAAGTAAGTGTTCCATTCCATTCCCAGTACTAGGGGTTGCTTTTCCTCGTCTCTTGCCTTACACACATTGGGGGCTGGGCGAGGTGGTACAGTCTTGCAATCCCAAGTAGCTGAAAGCTGTTATGGTTTAGAGCTCATCGATCATGGGGAGGCTCTGTTTACCTGTGGGCTCGTCCACTGCTTAGTGCAGTAGCTGAATGTGCTGTGGGGAAGGTGGGTCCTGGCGCCATGGCCTGGGAGGGTGTGTCCCTACCCACTTCTCTATTGACTTCTGGGTGCTGCAGGCTGAATAGATGTTCCCAGCCAGTCCTCTCCATTTCTGCTCTGGAAGCAGCCAATTGTAGACTGAACCTACTGGAAAATGTGGGCCAAATAGCCTCTGTCCCTTTAAGTTATGGGTGTCAGGTGTGTTGTTCTAGAGATGGAAAGTAACTGATACAGAAGCTTGGGCAAGAGCGATTGGAGTTCAAGGCCACACTGGGTAACGTGGTGAGATCCTGTCTTAAGAAACTAATCGAACTAGAAGCAAAACCAAATCTGAATGGAGTGCATACATGCTGAGGCATCATGCTCTGCTGAAAGTATTTTAAATCTTACATTCTTGTAGGGAGACAGAAGGAGTAAATAGGGAGAAATGGAAAATGACTTCAGAGGGTAAGTGATAAGCCCTCCTCCCCTTCTTCCAATCTTCCTCCCTCCCTTCCTTCTCAAGCTTTGCCAGACACGCGCTCTCCCCACTTCCACGCTCCACGAGTGTGCACAGAAAGAAGCCAGGCTGGGTGATGGTAGCGGAGATTGTATATCCACAATCATGGCGGGGAAATACCCTTTGGAGGAGAGAAAATTAATCCTGGAAGTGAATGATAAAGTGGTAACCTTTCAAAGAAATGATTCTGGAAGAGAAAGCGACAGTTGAAAAAGCCCTGAGTGTAGGCAGTGGACTATAAGCAACTCTCTCAAAGTGCTAGCTAATAGGTATATTAGCTTGATTCCTGCTGCTTATTTGTTTTTTGAATAAACAAAAAAACCAATGTGTTCCTTATTAGATGAATCCCTTTCCAATTTATCATACAGGTGGGTCCAGCTTATGGTCTGGCTCCCTACCTTCAGTTCCTTCATTGTAAACATTTTCATTAAAACAAACCAAAAAGAGGCCAAAGAAACAAAGACAGAAGATATTGACAACAACAAACCAGGCAGGCTGCAGACTGCACACAGTCTGGGACAAAATATAACCCAAAACATATAACCCAAAACATAACTCCTCTCTCAGGAAGATAGATGCCCTGGGGTTTAGACACACTTCTGGGTGTGTCTTGTGAGTGGCCTTGGGTACTATGTATGGGCCTCATCCTGTTCCTCTCTGGCACCTCTTCTCTGCTCTATCTCCCAGGTACCATGAACTAAGTGGCTCTGCTTGGCTCTGCCCTTCCAACTTGAAGTTCCTCCCTTGATACTCTGGGACCATGGACTGAACTCCCTGAAACTGTGCACTAAATTCAGCCTCTTCTTGAAGTTATGGGTGTTGGGCATTGTGTTTCAGTGATTGGCAAGCTAACTAACGCAATCACTAATTTTAAGGGTATGGTACATGAAGACTGTTTTTCAAGCCTTGTTAGGGTTAGGTCAGCCACAGGACCATGTACTGTCCAGTGGGGATATAAGTGGAAGACTTAGGTGCAGCTTCTGTGTGAGATCTTGGAGCACTAGCAGGCCTTTCTTCTCCCTATGGTTTGTGGCTTCCCTACCAGTTTGGCTGCAGGTGTTTATTGATTTTTCTGGGTGTCTTAGTTACTTTCTTTGCTGCTCAGAGGCAGTATCTGAAGTTCACAGTTTAAACATTTTGGCTCAAGTTTCAGTCTCTGCTTGGCTAGCTCCAAAGAAGGACCTGCATGGCAGAGGGGGAAGAGCTGCTCACCTTGTGACAGCCAGGAGCAGAGATGAAAAAGGAAGAGGTGGGAAAGGAGATGAACTCTGCTGGGTCAGCCCCTCTTTGGGCCAGGCGCCACCTCCACACAGCAAGTCACCTGTAAGCGCCTGTCATCCAGTTACCTTCCAAAATCCCCACCTGTGAACACATGCGAGCCTCCTGGGGGACATCTAGATATAAACCATAACACTGAGGATTGAATTCTGGGCCCTCACAATGAACTAAATCCTTAGCTTTTATTTAAAATTTTATTTTGAGACAGGGTCTCCCTAAATTGCTAAGTTGCCCAGGCTGGGATGAAACTTACAACCCTCCTGCCTCAGCTTGCTAGAGAGCTAGGCTGGCTATGTTTTCATGCCTGCATTGAGTGCGGTCTTGATAGCTACAGCCCTCTACTCATTGTATGGAACCTGCACGTTGAAGTTGTACAAAGCAGTAGAATGAGTGAGGAGGGCTCCAGTCCTGACATTGTGGAGCCTGTACTCCAGCCCTGTGCCAGCCAGCTACATTTATGTGAAAGAAGAGCCAACTTCAATTTTGTTTATTTGATGCTTTAGTATTATAATTTTTTTTTTTTTTTTTTTTTGTACCTGGATGGAACTCAGGACCTTTCACTTGCCAGACGGGTGCTTATGCCACTGAGCTATCTCCCTAGCTGATGCCTTACTATTATAAACAAACCATTCAATCAATTTTCTTTTGGGGGGACAGTACTGGGAATTGAACTCAGGACTTTGCTGTTGCCAGGCAGGCACTGTGTCACTGAGCTATGTCCCAAGCCCCCAATTTGTGTGTGTGTGTGTGTGTGTGTGTGTGTGTGTGTATTTAAACACATTATCTATTTCATTAAATGTCCGTCTTTCAAATTATACATTGCTACTACATGTTCACAGTGGGTAATTTTGTCATTTTACTATGTAATCCATTTTTTTTTTTTTTGGGTGGTACCAGGGATCGAACTCAGGACCTTGTGCTTGCCAGGCAAACAATTATTCCACTGAGCTATCTCCCTGACCCTGTGTAATCCATTTTTAACTCTCTAAAGGTATAAAGTGTCTGTTTAAAGTTACATCTGGGGGACCAGGGAGATAGCTCAGTGGCCTAAGTGCCTGCCTGGCAAGCTCAAGGTCCTGAGTTCGATGTTTAGCAAAAAGGAGAATTTAGTCCATTAGCCCCTTTATTTATGACTTGGATTCCTTCTCATAATAGTGGTTTCGTCCATCTCCGTGTGAAGATTATATGGAGACGAGATCGCTATACAAAGAAGGAAGCTTCACCTTGGACCTACGAGTGAAGATGATCAATTCCAGTGTCCAGAAATTGCATTATTGCTCATTGATTGGGAAGCCTTGATGTAATGAACTGCTCATTGTCTCCAGGAAGAACTATGGTGTCTGTCCTTGGTATTGGAACACAATGTATACCTGGCCAATCGGTGCCCAACTCCAGCTATTGCCTAACAACAGTGCAGGTGTTATTTGAAGAACTCTGATTATTACTTACATGAATTTAGTTTTTTATTTTTATTTTAATTTTAATTTTTTTGTATCTTAGGGAAGGGTCTACCAGTGTTCAGGGTCTCACTACACAGATTGGACTCCTAGTGATCTGCCTGTTTACAGCCTCCCAAGAGCTGGGATTATAAGTGTGCACCACCCTACATGCCTGGCTCACTGTTTATGCTTTAATTTTATTTCCTTCAAATATAGTGTGTATTTCATAATATTTGATTAAATA